CAATGGAAAACCAGTAGGAGCAAAGGAGCATGGGACACAACGTGGTTGGTCTGCTTTGTCACTCTCCTAAAAGAGGGGAGAAAAGTTGTATATGCTACATTGCTTATAGTTTATATGTAGACAAAGAGCAGAGGTTAAAATACCATTTAAAAAGTAATTTTCCACATATGAGACAGAGAAAGAGGGGTTATATTTGGTTGGTTGTGTTGCCTTTTGTGTGGTCAGGGTTTTTCATATATGACAGAGATTTTAATAAGCTTTACTTAATTGCTTCTGAAGGGTTCTTGCTGGAACCAATCCCTGCTCTTTAAGAACGTAACAGGCATATGATTTTTTGTAAATATAAAACAATTTATTCCCGACGTGTTCCAAAGCTGCATTCTTCTGAGACACTGGAATATGAAGAAGACTGGAAGAAATTAGCATAGGAGAGCAGTCTATAGGAAAGGAGTCTGTGTGGGAGCTGTGCAAGTGAGCAGACAAAGCTCAAAGTTCTGACAGGCCAACAGAGATGACACGCAAAAATAACGTAAGAAAAAGACCCTTGATGGCAGAAGGAGAATGGTGCAAATCTCCAAACTCAGCAAGAAGCTTGGAAACAGTGACCTGTCATTGCCCTGTTCTGTCCCTCTGCACTTCAATTCCTTAGTTTATTCTGGTCTGACAATTGCAGCTTCAGTCTTCTCGAAGCAATCAACAAGTCTATTGCTCAGAAAGAACATCAAACTGATTGTTAGAGCTAAATGGTGGTTTGTCAGGTTGCCAGAATGATTCTTTAGAGGAAATACATTATTACAATTTTAGCAAGTCCATTAACGTTTCAAGTAGCACAGGCATTCATTGTCCCGTGTCAGTGTTAGGGGTGCACACCTACTCCTGGGAAGAGGGATTAACTACTGCTGTAACTATCCTGCTTCACTTCCTTGGGCTTCCAAACATCCTCCCACAGGCACACAGAAACTCTGCTAATTCTTCCCTGTTATGCCGTCAAATGCCAAAGCCTCAATTAAGATCAGAGCCCCAGTGATCAAGACCCAATCCTTGCCTCAGAGAGGTTAAATAGCCAAGACTGGCAAATGGCAGGAGAAATAATGGGGGAAGCTGGAGATAAAGTTGCTTGCCCAGGGTCACAGAGCAGGCCAGGAACAGAATCCCTATCTCCTCTTCCCTTCTGAACAGGTTCGCCTTTTTTCTCACCTTTGGCTGAACTTTCTTCTTTCCTTCTTCTTCTCAGATATGAATAATTCATTCTCCAGCTCTTAGGTCAAGATTTCTGTTCACATACGATAACATTAAGCATAAACTTAAGTTTTATGCTACCATATTAAAAATACTAAAAAGAATGGTAAAATCAAAACTTTTCAGCTAAGAACATTGCTGCTGGTTTCTCTATCCATATGCATTTAGAATTGTTTCTTTTTTGCTGATACTGGTGTAATTAATTCTCTCTCTGCCTGCCCATGGCAAGGATTTAATTTCTGCAATTCATAGCTTGGAATATGAAGAAATTCTGCATTCAGATTAGCTGCAGCACTTCCTTTGCCCCCTAAGTATTTTGAGTTTGTAGAGATTATTCAAATGTGATAACAAAATTCAGTAAAGGCAAACTGTGAATTCTGCTGCTAATAAGAATTCATCACTTTTACATGCAAGACTGGACCACCCATCCAAATGACTTAGAGCCCAAAAGAAATTCTAACCAGTGACTCGCTCTAGATAAACAAAATTGTTGTCTTGTCATTAACTAGACTAAGTTACTGCATTGAATAAAATTCACCAATTTGATGTCTGGAAGTGCTAGATAGAGCTCCTAACTGTGTTAATAAACTGACATTTTTAAAATGGAGGTTGTCCATTGCTCAATTACCCTAAATCAGTTTGTCAAAGAGAGTGTCCTTTAGCTACCTTCTGTTAATTACAGTATAAAATACAAAGTAGTTGTAAATAACATGTCCCAAGACTTTAATAGAAATGTTGGCCACTTTATCTTCTGTCATTCTACTTGAACTCCACGCCCAGATTCTCTACTTTCCTGGTGACATTTTCTTTGAGGGGTACAATAAAAACTACTGCATAATTTTAAATCACCCGTATCAATAAGGACACCATGTGATTATTACTAAGGAAATAAGAATGCTACAGTGGACAGTGAGGATGAATAACAGCAACAGTAGATTCCTTTCCATTGAGCAAACTGATGGAGCACACCTCCCACAGCAAAAACTGAAATTTCTGGGCAGAGTAGCCCCTCTTATCCAACCATCAGCCTCCAGTGAAAACTGCAGGATGTTGGGATTCCTTTGCCTAAATGTCATGACTCTTTGCACAGAGGTTGGTGTGAGTGCAGGTCATACGTAACCACCCTCCAACACTCGTGCAAATTACATCACCTAACTTTAGATCCTGGAATACACCACACCAAGTAGTTCTTAATAGTGTACTTTATATAATAAAATTTCAGTGTAGCATAAGGTTGCAGCTCCGTGAAGGACAAACAGGAGCATTGCTATAGCAACTGTATGAAACCGCTCTAAGTGAGCTGGATGGGAGTGAGAATGATGCATGAGGTGCCTCCCAGGAAGAATCCTGGCTGCTGATGGCTGGTTTCAATGCACCAGCTCCAAGGCTGCTCAGTACCCTCTGGATTCCAGGTGATAAAAGAGGAGACAAACTCCAGACAAACGGGAGGCTGTCCCTCGGTCAGTACAGCAGGTAGGGTGGCACAGCTCTGTTAGGGTGCAGTTCAATGCTGTGACAAGTCAGGGGATAAATTCCTGGAATCCAAAAAAAGGGCAGGTTTCCCCAAATAAAGCATAATTCTTGTTCGCAAACAGTTTTGCTTATAACAAATCCTATGTCAAAAAGAGAAGAGAAACACAGAAAAAATGAAGCCACAAACCCAAAGAAACACGAATCTTTGAGCTGAACAGTGACTTTACTGAGTAACATGTTATAAATCGCCATGAGTGTGAGTGCAGGGTTGGACACAATGACTTCTGGAGATACTTTAGAGTCTGCATCATTCCCTGGTTCTATATAAGCTGCATGTTTGGCCTCACATCCAGAGTTTGCCTTGCCCTTAATTCAGGCCCACATACTACTTCCCTTCAAGAGAAAACGAATGGAAAAGGGTTTTGAAGGCAGAAAACTCCCACTATTTGCTCATGCTTAAATTAATTGAATTTTCAAATAGGAAGCAGAGAGAGAAATATGATTGATTTTTTAAAAATCTATTTCTGGAAAAGCTCCTGTCATTTTTTTCTAAAAAGAATTTCAGAAAGTGGTAGTGGCTGTTTCAGTTCCAAGCAAAGAAACGCTTGAGACCTCAGGATTAGAAACGCTAAAGAGAGAGTGCTCCTACAGAGAAGAGAGCAGACAGAAGGTGTGTGGTTAACTTACTCACCGTTCACACACACCGACATAGAACTTAAAAGAATAAATAATCCATGCAGCCTTAATTACATTACATATCCTTAATCTAAAAGCCTCACGTTTTCTGCAATTTTCATTGAATTCAAAACATAAATGCTTCATTTTTGCAATAATTTTCCCTGCTGCATTGTCTTTTGAAATCCAATAGCAGTGTGAGCAGACAGTACTACTAATTAGTCTGTGGTCATTAGAAGACAGGTTGAAAGATGGACTAGCAATAAAATCAAAACATAGAACCGTATTACTATAATAACTATTTGAGCTAATACTATATATAATTGAACTTCTCTTGCCAGTTTAAGCTGATAGAATCCTGAGTGCCTTATGTTAACATTATAAAACTAGAAACATCAGGAATTAGATAATAAAGAATAGGTGCTAAATACGACATTTAACCTCGGGGCAGAAAAAAGGTCGTGCCAAAATCTTCCCACAGGTAGAAACTGTGTGTTAAGCACTGAACTGCAACTTGGCCCTCACCATTTTCAGCACTGTGCTGCCATAGGGGCATGGGAGGATGTGCAGCAACCCTTTGCTGTGAGCTGTTCCTTACCTTTAAGTGAAGTTTAGCAAAAGTGATCTAAGCCAAACAAACTCTTGCCAGCTGGAGAGGAAGGAGGAGAGACCTCAGAATGTCCCCTACTACTATCGGACATTGGCCTGAGTGGCCAAAGTTACAATCAACACTTCTGGCAAATTAATTACTTTGCAACACACAGGAGTGAAGAGAAACAACCATTACACACAGGAAGGACTATGGGAGTATGAGTATTTATTAAATCTCCCAATGAAAGCTGTGAGTTCACATCACTTTTCTGGCAAAGTACAGTTCAGGTAGCTGAAAGGAACAGGACTCGCCTCCCATTTCAATTGACACAAAAGCATGGTGGCACTGTGCCTTTACATTCCTCAAAAATGTTAGAAGGAAACCAATGTTAAATGGTTCAAAAACTGACCTAGGAGCCTCCAAAACACACTTTTTCCTGAAAGCACTTTAAGGAGCATCCAGACTCTCTTTCCACTAATTTCATTTATGCCAGCCAAGAAGACTCAAATGTTTTACTGGCTGAAGCACCTTCAAAATCTGGCTACTGCTTTACACAGTAAAGTTACTCTTAAGTATGATTCTCTAACTGATTTTTGATCCAAGTATTGCTTACACTCAAAAATTCACTACAGTTTTAACACACTGCTTAATTTAAAGAGGCATATCAGAGACATACATAAAACAATTTCTTACCTGTTTTAGAGTAGGTAAATGAAAAGCACATAAAGAGACATTTTTGGAGTTTGGGTGAGGTTGCAGCGGGACATGAGGATGGACACAACACAAATTTTGGATAACCAGAAGCTATTTGCAAATTTCTAGTTTCATTTATTCCATATTATAGATGAGGACAAATATCAAGGAATGCAGTTTATGTTTCACACCTGCTGTCACAGAACTTGGAAAAACTGATAAACTTTTCTCAGTTTAGTACTACCATAAGGAAACCACATATAAGTTTTTGTCTAAACAAACATTTTGCATCTAGAGTAACAAAACAGAAGGAAGACACAGCTCTTACCTCATTCTTAAGTGCCAGATGGCCCAACGGTGGCCTGTAACTTCTGCAAACAACTTTCCGCCACCTATAAAACCACAAAAATATTTACTATTCACAAAAAAAAAGTCACATTCACACACATCACCAGTCTGAATCCCATTTAATACTAGGCACTCCATTCCAAGTGTGACAGCACCAGTACCTTTAACCCCCAGCCCCAAAATCTGAACTACTTTGAAAACAGACTGAAACTGGTTTATTTCCAGAAACTTCAACTTTATTATTTCTCCACTCTATGAAATAGTTCACATGAATAAACTACAATCTAGTTATATCTTCATAAACAAAGAATTAATTTATGGTAATATAATTAATTCCAACCAGGATATATTTGCAGGAAAAGCATCTCAACTAACTTGATGAGATAAACAGTTGATATTAAAAAGAAAATTGCTTGATGTAGTTAGAATTTTATGTGGATAAATTAGACCTAGTCCTTTCTGAAATGTTGACTGAGAACCTAAAGTGAAACAAAGTCAATACATGTCACGTGCTAATCAAATTACAAGCTGATTAAGTGACAAATCTCAGCTGAAAGTCGAAGCAGAAAATCCTCATCAGGGGAGCAGGGTTTTTAATGGGTTCCTGGAGGCTCTACAGGCTTTTGATAATTCACTTTTTACAATTAGCCACCTGATGGGAAAAAATAACTGTAAAATCTGGAGATGAGACTGAGGAAAAAGTAAGCAAGAAGCAGGGCATGTAATGGGTGCACAACAAAAAACACCAGTGGAATCCAGAGCAACAGGCACTTTAACACTATTAAATGTAAACACAGGCAAACATTTTGGCACACAATGCTGGGAGAAGGAACCATTCTGAATTACTGTGTCACAGGATACCAGTAGGAACTCCAAAGTGTTTCACTTGTTTACTGTATTTTGTCCTCTGACAGAATGAACTTCAGTTCTTCAATGTTTTTAATTTTAAAAGGCCACATGTGTGTGAGAGGGCTCATCTAAAGGTACATACATGTATATACAGTAGGATGTTCTTCCTTGGGGTAAGAAATATGGGGAAAGTCTGCTATTTACACAAAAAGATTAACATGTTGCCATAGAGATTTGATTCATTTTTTTTTTATGGATCCAAGTTCCTTCTTAAGGTGAGGAATTAAACACTCCTGTGTCATGACACTCCAACCAATGTGCTAGAATGAGTGACAACCAGTAATTCCTTCTGTCCAACATGTTCCTGAGGACTAGGAGATGAAGTTACAAAAAGATACAACCCCAAACATGCTGAAGATGACTAAAACTCCCCATAAGTCAAAATTCTGTTTCTTAATTCTCAATATATTACTGTAATTTCAAAATTATTCATCTCTCTTACTATTAAACTTGTCTTTAAAATACCTAGTTTGAAGAGGGCCATGGCCAGCATTTTAAGCATCTCCAAAACAACCTTTTGCAAAACCGACTAACAAAGAGCAAGCAAAACCACAGCCTATGGGATACCTTGAGACCACGTGCCAGCAGCATGATTACAGTGAATCAGAAACAATGTGCATGCACACTGATTTCTCTCATCAGGTTCAGAAACACTGCAGGCAACCTCTTCTTCACATACTTTGTTTTCAGCATCATATCCTTGTTTATAAATTCCAGCAGTACCACAATACATACAATGGAAATTACTTGCTAGCAAAGAAAGTACAAGATTTGTAGAACTAAAAATTAGTTTTCCTTGCAATAGTCAAAAGTTTGGCTTAAAAGCTTCTGTGAAAGGTAACAATTGTCCTTTCTTCAGATAGGACCGTTTCATAAATAATAAATCATATCATCATATTCACTGGCACAGGTTGCCAAGAAACTGTGGATGCCCCATCCATGGAAGTGTTCCAAGATTGGGTTAGATGGGCATCTGAGCAACCTGCTCTAGTGGAAGGTGTCCCTGCTCATGGCAGTGAGGTGGGAACTAGATGATTTTAGAGATCCCTTCCAGCCCAAACCATTCTATGGTCATACTAGCTTAAGAACACAACTAACTATTTTCTTCGAAAGCAGAGTTCTCAGAAATCAGTTTATTCAGCTGCACAGGTTAAAGAAATGAAGGGGGTTGGGGGTGGGGGGGCGTATCTCAGAAGTTATAGTTCCGTTATCTCAGGTATAGTTCCGTTTCAGAACTGGAACGTGGTACCAGTTCATGTTGGATACAACCCGGTGCCCCTTGCTAATTGCTGTCAAAAAAGCGGACTCTCATTCCCACCCTCTGCCCTCAACCACTTGTTCACAGTCCTCTCCCTACCCTGGGCCTCCTGCCCATGCTGATCTGAGGAAAAAAGCAAATCCAAATAGCAAAACAATCCCCATCATCTTTCTATTAAAGGACACAATCCAGTAATATTTCTCAAGTTATTTAGGGACCCAGAGAGCCATATATACGTTTCCAAACCCAGCCCTTGTTTGTTAAAAATCTGCAATGTTCAAATGAATGATGGGATTCAAATTTGATATTAAATGGCACATATGCCTCAGATATGACTATAGCCATTAGTGTTCGTATCTAATATTCCAGCATCTCCTGTGGTAAATTATTTCCTGTAACTGAGAAGTAATTATCACAAAGTTATTGGGTTATCAGACTTCTAATGATCCTATAATTGCTTTCATTATACAATTGATTTGTCACAAATGCTCATATTACAAATATTATTGACCTCCTGCCACTCCTATAACATAATTAAAGCTGCAGATCAGCTTAACACATTGCCCTCCTGTGCTGCTGAAGACACATCACAGAAGCCACAAAGTACCTGCAGAGTCACTTCTTGGCTCAGCAGCAGCGTGAGACTCAGGGCAGATGTTATTTTGCCATCTATTCTCTGAATTCTTACTTTCTCCATACTTTACCTTAGTGTTTCATACCTTAACTCTGTTTCTTTATTTGGCCACACTTCATTTACCCCCACTGCTTCGTATTTCTCTCCATGTACAAAACTTACTTCCTACTCTGCAGTTTTCCTTCGGACGCTTGCTACGCTTGTGCCAAAACCAAATGAGTTTCTGCTTTCCTTTGCCTGCTATTTTTCTTTTTGATAAAGTAACAGCCCAAATAATTCACTTTCTTTTTTTTTTTTCTGAGTGTTCGACTTCTGCCTTTTAGCACAATTATTTTTCCCATTCATCTCTCTCTGGAGATTTTGCTGAATCTATCTGAAAGTTCAGATGAAGGAAGTGCAAGTACCACATCAGTCTTGTTTTAGCAGCACCCCCATCCCAGCCTATTAAGTTTGGTAGATTTAGTGGGGCATTCTTACCTTCCACAAGCTGCTGTTCTGAAACAACATGACAGCTTTGTGAGTAACCTTTTGAAAATGAGAGCCCTAAAATCTAATATTGTTAATACATTTATTCAAGGTTGCTACTTTCATATAAACCTAACATACAAACCCATCTTCTCCTTGTTTTTCTTGCCTGACAACTTAAGTTTAACTGATCGAGGATAAGGTGCCTGCAAGCCACGGGGAGTTAATATAATTTACACACTGACTCCTAAAAGTCTGTGAGGTCATTAAACTATCCATCTGCCTACATGTCTTTTCCTGCATCTCAGAGATGACCACACTTTAAAAGCCATAGAGGATTACAAATGCAGAACGAGGGAGGAAAAAAATCATGTTTAACATTATTCTATCCTCTAGAACCAACCCAGTATGATTAAGAATTAGGGGACTAGGGAAACATAGTACTATAAAAAAACCAGATGTCCATAATAGTAGAAATCCTGCAGTGTGAGAATTAAAGTGTATCTTTTAGGTTGTAAAAAAGGAAGATAATACCAATAACAAATAACCAAAAACAAATAAAAAAAAATCTAAAATACACAAACCATTAAAAACCCTAGAAGTAAATTTTGGTCAAAAAAAGTTAAAAATAACAAATATTTTAGGGCTTTGGCCATTTCTGACATTTAAGTTACTGCATTATTAAATGAAAAGGAAGGAAAAAAAACCCCAAAATTTCCCTAACAAATATATGAATCACTGTTGTCTGAAGTGAGAAACAAATATCCAGTAAGTCTCTAAAATATCTCTATTTTTAGGCATAACTCTTGCCTGTGTAGGAATCTGAAAGGCCATATCAGGAGCAGACTACATCTGATTCCAGGAGCAGAATAACAGCACCAGACTTGCACTGAAGTTACACCAGTGCTGATCAGGGCCAACTTCACTGAAGTCAAGGAAAAGAGAACAAATCTGGCCCATCCCTCAGTAACCACACGCCCATTTTCTCATAGGCAATAAGAACATTAAGCAGTAAACATGCAGAGGAATTTTAAAAGGCAAATTTCAGGATCCATACTGTAATTCTCTAATGCCCTTCACATTATGTCACCTTTTAGCTGTTTCCAAGGCTCTCCATAAATTACCAATATTATACTCCAAGAACATCTGGTCAGCTGTGTGATGGTTTATATCAGCAGAGGAGGTCTGCAAACAGGTGGGAAACAGCTGCCTCATTTATCCTGCACACCACTCATTTAGATCACAAAAGTGACAGAAACAATAGGAGAAACACTCTTGTGAAGCAAGAGTTACAATCTCTACCTTAAAACTCAACTTTATTAGTAAGGACAATTGCATAGCCCAAAATATCGTTAATCTGCTTATGAGAACCACCAATGCCTGAATATATATGGTAGCACTATGGACTTGAGAAGAATAGGAAGCATCTTATCTAGCTCAAGGATTTAGCAGAATAGCCTCAAAAGAGACCTAAGTGCCAGGCAACCTCAGCCATGGAATTCAGAAAAAACAACACAGAAGATCCAGAGGTAGAGAGGCAAAGCTCTCACATAAAAAATAAAGCTTATGTCACATAAATATTTCTAACTGCTACTGTGCTACCAGTTGCTTAGCAATGTCCTCTGCTCCAACAAAAAACTGTCTTTTGTTCACAACAAGTTCTCTTCCCAAAGATGTTGATAGCTGTACTCAGGCTTTGAAGTCACTTGGCAGGACAGCTGAGCTAATCTAAGAGCTCTTTGCACACCACTGTCTGTCCTGCTGCTTGTCTCTCTCCA